CCGGACTGGCAGCTTGAGGAAAGGCTGCAGGATCGCTCCCCTGGAAAACAAGAGCATTTTAATGTGGAAGCGAATCTGATGAATAATATAAGGTGCCTGGTACGGTTGGTCCTTTTACCGATGATATAGCCGATATAAATATGCTGCATGTTGTCTTGGCCTGTGAACCTGCGACAGAGTTACAAGAAGCAATAGCAAATAGCTTTTCATCCTTTACTTATTTCCACATCACTAGCAAGGATTATACCTAAAGGCCAATAGTATAGAGAGGAGACATTTCATTGTAATTATACATTTAGGCCAACATGTGTGGTTGGCTTGCCTAGTTAGCATTAAAAAAAGAAATAATTGAGCTATATATAATACACATCAGTCAAACTGTCAAGTTGCTGAATTTAACAAAACTTAGGCAAGGTTTTTTTCTTTTTTTTTCTTTTTTTTTCTTTTTAATGTAGAGGCTTTCAGTTTAACAGCTAAATATTTTAATTGAGGAGACTGAATAAAATGAAGCTAAGCCGTAATTCTAGTGCAGTGTAGCTCAACTGGGTATTCTAATATTACCAACAACTTTGATTTTTATTTTTTAATGTATTTAAGTGCTACCCATATAGAGGGAAAGTTTTTTAAATTAACCCTGCGATGGCATTTTCTTTTTCATGGTGAATGATGAAATTCAGACACAGGGGAAATGCTTATTTTGTTTTTTTTACATAGTGGATACTCAGCTGGAACATTTTGCTCGACTGCATATTTGAAAAAAGTTCCCTTGGGAGCCATGATGAAGTAAAACCATTTAGCTATTACAACTGGAGGTTAAAAAAAATTATAGATTCAGTATTTAAAACACTTTAAAAGCATATGTTTGTCTAAAATATAATAGAAAATCCTTTACATTTGTATTTTTTCGTAATTTTTTTTTGGTTCTTAGACTATATAATCAAGTCAAGATTTACACTGTACACTAAAAATCTTCTTCTTTTGAATGTATTTGCATAAATGGAAAGCGAGCCGTTAAAGAATACTGATACAAAAGTTAGCTACCAGGATAAGAACTAATTCAGAAATGAATGATGCTCAGAATTTTGCTTTCCCTTCCAGGCGGGCCCTGCTCCTTACAGTGCCTCATGCTTCAGTTGTTTCGCGCTCCCTCCCGCACGGAGAAGAGCCACCCTTTTAAAAGCCACAACTCCTCTGAAAACCAAAGACACAGCCTTTGAGGAGGAGAACTTCAGAACAAAGTGTGTTCAGGGCTAGAGGATTTGCTAGGAATAACGTGAATTAGCTTTTGCTATTAAAGATGCAGCTCAAAATGTTTGAACATTTATCACCAGCTCGGAGCCCACTTCCCGGGTAAGCAGCGGGAGGTTTTGCTGCCGACAGATTTGAAAGCAAAATCAGGTCCCAACATACGGCAAAGGCAGCGTAATTAACTGGCATCATCTCCGTCTGATTTTCCCATCAATCACTGGTACCACTCGGGGATGCAAATCAGACGCGCTGAGGGGCAGGCCCAGAGTCCAAACAAAAACCTTAATTGTGGCACAAGGCTCTTTTCCAGACCCTCTTTGCAAGACTGAATTTTATCCAGAGTGCAGTGGGATTTGCCATTCTTGCAGCGCTTTTTAGAGGCTGTATGCCTTCTAAAAATTATTTAGCGTCCTAATGAGACAATTCCTTACCCGCGGTAAACGGGCGTTAAGTGCCATTGAAGCCAGTGAAGCTACACTGCTGTCTGCCAGCTCAGGATCGGTCTGTGGACGCTTAAAGGAATGGCTGCAGAGAGCAGGTCTTTCCCTGGGAATTAAAAATGGCATTTTTCCAACTGGTCAGAACCGTTATGCTGATTTATTTCTCATTTATAGCCCGTGAAACCTGAGGCTGTTAGCTTTCAGTGCTAGAACAACGTAACCGGGTTAGGGAACAGAACTTTTCCGAATTATTATATACTACATGGTTTTTTCTATGTTAATGACTGGCAGTGCAAAAGAATTGCTGCGATTCTCAGGTGTTGCTCGCTACGCCTGTACCGCGCCACAGAAGCTTACAGGGCTGCTAGCATCAACACAGCTGGCTCTCAATCCTGCTTCACCTGGGGCTGCACTGCTTTCGCCTTTCGCTGTTTATTAAAAACACTAAATCAGGAGTGTTTCTATTTTTTAAAGGCCAAACGCTCGGCACAGCCCAGCTGTGGGTGAAGAGCTAGTGAAAGCAGCAGCCGCGCCGACAGATTTTAGGTGGGCTTGAAGTTTTTGCTTGTTCATCACCGTTCTTCGAGAAAAAGAGAGGGAAGCAAGAGAGCCTTGGAATGAAAAAAAGCAGGAAAAAAAAAGCTGGGGGATGAAAAGGGTTTGGGAAGGGAAAAAGAAGGTGTAAGAATAACTGGAGGAGAAAAAGGGACACGGTACGAGAGAGAGAAGGGGGAGGGCTAGACAAAAGAGCACATTATTTGGGCTTGATTTTGTCCTGATAGCCACATCCTATATAACCAATTTGAAAGAGGCTCTGAATGCAAGACGGGGTCTGCTGATAGCACAACGCTAACTCATTTTTTATTATGCTGTCAGCAGATGCCCTCTCTCTATATTTATAGCCTAATTACTCCTAGTTACCTACATATGACTGTTTAATACTTTTCATGCCTCACATTGGCTAACAAGCTGCAGTTTAACACAGCTCCGTATTTCTGAGGCTTCAGGCTAGATTGGTGAGAAGGAAACGTGACTATGTACAGAAACAGTTAGGTTTATAAACAAGTAACTGGTACCAAAAAAACTGGAGAAAGCACCAAAGCATTTCTCAAGCTGATAGCATATTAATTGCATAACTCCCTTTTATGTAACTAAGTATAAAAGACATTTTAATAACTATAAAAATGAAAGCCAGAGTCTTTCGAGAACTGAGGAATCTTCCAGGCTTGAGTTACGGTTGCAAATGTTCTTAGCACAGAGGACGCTTTGATACGCTACCACACTCCCCTAGCAGTTTCTGATCAACCACTTTTAAAGGATGGGGTTGATGTCTGTTCTGTGGCTGGCGAGCTGGGTGAGAGTGGAGCTTCCCACGACGTCGCTGACGGAGGAGGAGGTCGTGATGGTGTTGTGCTGGATGACTTGCTGCTGGGAGCAAGCTGGGACCGGGCTCGCGGGAGGACTGCTCTCAGGACCTGGGAGGGGGATGAGGGGACAGAGACAACACACATTCAATTACCCATCCGAATAACAAGCCCAGGCTGGGTGACACTCCTGGAAAAGGGAGGTACTACTACAGCAGCAATACTAACAACCAGAGGCATGCACAAATCCCAGGATTTCAAAAATGCACAGTTATCCAACACGGCCCAGCCTTCTGATCTTTTGCAGTTTTTGTTTGGTTTTTTTTTTTTTTTAAGCCAGCTTCTGTGATATCAACCTGACTTCAGGAGCTGGGACCTTGTAAAAAGTCCAAGATCTTAATGATTATGAAGCCAATGTCAGGATAAAAAGTCCGGTATCTTAAGGTCTATAAAATCAGTTGGGATGCTTAAATGCTTTATTCGCTCCAGCACGAATCAAAATTAGAGTGCAGTGCACTGCAGCACAGAAAATCTAATTCAAGCAACAGTTGATAGGCATATAATGCAATTACATATTTTTTTCTTTGAGTACTGTTAAAGAGCCAGATGCATAGTGATGCAGAGGAGACAGAAATGAGCTCTATTTTAAGACAATGCTGCAATTTAGCAAATATTAACCCCGAGGCTCTTCTGACCCATCCTAGAGCCAAGCAAAGAATTTGTCCCTAAATTACCACACTCGTAAAATGCATCAACTAGACAGAATCGATTCAACGTCTCCATTAGATGAGATGTTTTGAAAAAAATGAAAGATAAGAGTTAAAAAAAGACTTAACAAACCTTGAAAACCGGCACCACGCCTGGTCTGCGCGACTGTCAGAGCACAGTACCATTTTCGCTGGAGGGGACTGTAATGTTTTCCTTTTTAACTTTGCTTTTGAGAGTTATTTTAAGGTGCTGGCAGTGCTGCGCCCAGGAGGACTCTTGCAGGTTTGGAGCTGTGAGTTCAAGCAGGATTCTCCACAGGGGAGCGAGCGTCCATCCGTGTGCATCTCCTTGCCGAAGGGAGGGGTGGGGAAGGCTAGCTCTGCTGTGTGGGATGCAAACCCGGGCTTTTTTGGTTTTGAGCAGGGCTGGATAAATAAGGGCAGGAGATTGGATGGCTCGGATGATGTTTGAGAAGACAGGTTCAAGTGAGAATATGACCAAGAAGGGGTTCTGGTGGGAAGAATGAGAAACTTTGCTTTCCTGTGAGCAGTGTGGAGACAATGCAAACATACCAGCTACTTACTTAGATATCCTTGCGATTCTTTCTGCATAGCTGTTATCGGACAGTCTTTATGTGTTAACAATAACTGTTTCAGCTGTGCTACCTCATTTTTCAGCATGGAAACCTCGTTCTAGAAAAGAAAGAGAGGGTTTGGTTTGCCACAAAGCTTAAACCGGGCTCTTCTGCAAAGTTTAAACCCAAGAACACAGACGCCGCTCCACAACTTCAGAAGAACTGAGCAAAAATGGCACTCGGTGCTCGTTTATGTCAACATTTGTACATGATGTTATTTTATAACTTCTTCTGAAGGCAATTTGCCTTCCGGATTTGATGACATAAATGGACAAGCGAACTAACCCTTCACCAGAGATACTTTAGGCGGTGTTTTAATCTGCTCGGGAAATACTCTGGCTCTCTGCATCAGGACAGGGGGCCAGATCTGTGGGGGGAAATGGCAGCCTGCTGTCACCTACAGCATGTCACCTACGGCTCTGCTATGGCCGGTGCCTGGGTGCTGCCCGCACCTCTGTGTTTTGGGGGAGTGCCTTTACAGGAATGGTCTTTCTGCTCTTGGCAGCTCACAGGCATGATGTGCCCACCGTAAGAAGAGCACCACCATAAGAAGGGCTTTTGTTATATTAATTCAGGGTATTTTCATCCATCCATTTCATTCTTTTCCTTACTGGTAAACGGATCTATTTATGCTCCTATCTCGCTGGCTTTGAACGAGGGTTTAGCTACACGCCCTGCTCTGAAGAAGTCTTTTACAGCTGAGTTAATGGCACTTCCAAAAAAAATTCCCACAAAAAGCGGTGACAAGAAAAGAAAATAAATACAACTCTGTCTAGCGAAGGCTTCTAAATCCCAAGACAGCTTTTTCCTGGCTTATCCCACTAAAATGCAATTATTTCTTTAATTGAAGCACACACATCTTGATTAATCGACTTTGATTATGCCTGCGCTCCCTCTAGGAGCCGGCTGTGCGGGGGCAGCCCCGAAGGCAGCGAGGGCTCGCCGGCACCGCCAGCCCCTCTGAGCACAAAGAGCCCCTCTGTGTCCTCGGGGGTGCAGACAGTGGCTCGCACCTGAAGCTGCATGTTTGTCTGGGTGAGCTCTTCTGCTTTCTTTTCCAGTGACATCACCCAGACCTTCCTCTTCTGTCTCCCTCTAGGAGCCGGCTGTGCGGGGGCAGCCCCGAAGGCAGCGAGGGCTCGCCGGCACCGCCAGCCCCTCTGAGCACAAAGAGCCCCTCTGTGTCCTCGGGGGTGCAGACAGTGGCTCGCACCTGAAGCTGCATGTTTGTCTGGGTGAGCTCTTCTGCTTTCTTTTCCAGTGACATCACCCAGACCTTCCTCTTCTGTCTGCAGCGCGTGGCGGCGGCTCGGTTCCTTTCCAGAAATTTCCGTCTCCTCTCATCCGGGTCTTCGTCCACCACCCTCCTCCGGCGACCTCCGTCGTCTGCGTGGGCTGCATCTGCTGCGCCGCCGGCGAAACCTGGCGGGGAACAAGAGGTTTGGCAGGGTGTGGTGAGGGGGGAAAGTTATGGAGGGGGATGCGGAAAGGGGCAGGGAAATCTCACACACTTGTCCTGCTCCCCAGCGAGGTCTGCAACAGGCGCAACTCGAAAGGCTGCGCCAGATGCCACTGAAATTAGCTGCTGGCAGATCCTTGCCATGGTCAGAGGGGAGATTTTTTTGAAACGATCCTCTGAATATTAGTAGGGAAAATATTTTTCCCCTTACAGTTATTAAAAACATTTCACTTAGGTACTTTCTCTGCCACCACCTATTTCAAACCTGAAATGTCAAGTTTCTCTCAGCAACTGTTTTAATCAAAGCAGAAGACTGTAGGGGCCTTATTTCTGTCTTTTTCTTTTTTTTTTTAAATTGCCTCCAAAATTTCAGGACATTTCTATTTCACAGGCTCCTCCATCTCTGTCTTACGCTTTACTACCTCTGGAGATGGAAGCTGCAGCGCTCTTCACACCTGAGTGGAGCTGGGAAGCCTCAGGCTGGGATTGTGCAAGGCCAGCAGACCTCGGTGCCCCTCAGCTGGGGGCAAAAGAAAGGATTTAGGTACCTGAACTTGAACTTGCATTGTGGTATCCCTGCACTGCATGGAGAAGGGATATTCCCTTTCTCAGGCCTTTCCGTTTGACCCCTGTGGATGCTGTACTCCCTTTTTTCAGCAGCCTGGCTGTGACAGGAGAGGCACACCACATCCAGTCCCGCTGCTGTGAAACTATGGAAAAATATGTATTTATGCTTTTTAAAGTGCAGGAGAGTATTGATCCTGCTCCTGAGAGTAACTGGCCCATGCCATTACAGAAAAGGCACGTGTTGGGGGCGGCCCCACGTAGTCTGTGCTCCGACTCCTGGGCAGATGAAGCACATGCCCATGTCCCTGTCTGGAACCAGCATCAGACTTAACGTTCAGCTGCCAGGGAATAGCCAGCTTTTGGATTGCTTT